AGGAGATTTTTTTTTTTTACCCTTTCCGTTAATTTTGCTTGGATCCAAAGTCCAAACAGAGAAATGCAATGTCATCCACAACCAAAATCTGGACAGTACAAGTTGAAAATGACAAGAGAGAGACCCATTGCCGACTGCCGTCCCAAACCCAAAGATATCAAATACCAACTCCAAACAATAACAATTCCCAACGCCGAAAGTTACCCTCAAAACTTTGGCTTCTCCTACGCCATTCTTAATCCCGAAAAAAAAAAAAAAAAAAAAAGAATCCCTTTTTTGTAGTTTAGAATGTAACAGACGGCGGCAAAGCAGAAAAGAAACAGTTAATGAGAGGAAGGTTGATAATATCAAATATCAAAAAACTTGTCTTTCGTCAAACTCACAATTTTTCCAAACAGATATCCCAGAAATGTTGACGATGAAAGTTTCAAAGGAAGAAAATTTCAGAAAAATTCTGAGCAAATTGTTATTTGTTATCTACTTTATTATCTACACCCATTGATCCTTATGGAAAAAGGGACTCAAATTTTCACATAAAAAAAAAAGCTATCAAATAGGATTAAAATTTAAAACATGATTTAACCTCGATAGTCCATTCTTCAGTCCTAATCGTCACCGGACTTATGGTGATTAACCTTAGCTCCCATTGCACGAGGAGCCGCTGTCTGCGGCGAATGTGTCGTCGACGTCTCAACAACCGTCGCAGACGACATCTCCATCTGACAAACCCTAACCGCACCAATTAACCTTTCCGGCAACTCGTCCTCGGTCTGCGCCTCCACCACGAAACCCATATCGATGGTCACGCTCGTCACGTATCCCAATGCCAGGTGCAAAATCGCGGCAGCGATCGCCGAACTCGAGATATCGACATCGATCTCCAAATAATTGGCTCCTCTGTGATAATTACAAGTCAAGGCCTTACCTAACAAGCACGCACTGTAATTCCCCACCGTTTTCTTCACGATCCACGGCCCTTTCACGATGCGGTTAACAATCTTGAACCGTTGATTTCGAAACGCGTCATCTCCGTTGATAAACCGGTACAGCAACGATCTGGACGGGATAGGATCTTCCGTGGCGAAATAAAACACGGCGCTATGGTAGTCTTTCCCCGGAACCTGGAGATTAACAGCGAATATAAAGCTTTTCAGAGACTGTCCGTCCGACTGTGCCTTTTTCAGGGCCTGAACCACGCGATTATCTGGTCGGGCGAGTACGTTATCGAGTTTCGCACTCGACCTGATCCAGTCCACACCAGCAGGAGCGAGTAGGTAGTCCCCGGAAGGAGACTTCTGCCGTCTGGTAAAGTAATTCTTGGAGCGGAGAGAGAACAACTCCCCCGGAGGCGAGGCCCAGCCGTTGTTGCCGGTGTGGAGATCGACGCATGGCAAGGAACCGCCATTGATGGACTCAGAGATCCAGTCAGGAATCCTCACAGGTTCTGCAGAGGTAGTAGATCTAGAGCATTTACCAGCGGCTTCGACGGCGGAGGACCGGTGCTTCTGCTTCATCGGACACATTTTTATTCTATCTTTTGTTTTGTTTTGTTTTTGATTCCACTGGGTTCAGCCAACCAAGACTGAAACGCAACAATTTTCCTTTTTGTAGTCCGAAAGAGTGAGGTGACGGAGGGGAAAGGAGTGTGGGGTGGATTGATAGATGGAGGAGAAAGTATGCCCCTGGGTTTCCAGGAAACTACGACAGAGCCACTTTATGCTGGGCCTGCTGCGTTTAGTTTTTTTTTTTTTTTTTTAATGTTCTGCTTGGTAATTAAAAAATTATAAAAATATTTATGTAGTTAATTCAGCTACCATAATTATCAGATATTGAGATTCAGAGCTGGAGTCTGAATTTTGAAAGTCAACTCTCTTGAGATTCGTGTAATCTGAGTACGTGATTTTTTTTTTTGGAAAATAGGTAACGAGAATTTGTTTTCTTGCTTTCTCTGGGAAAAGATGAGACGATCAAAGTTTTATAAGTTTTTTTTTTAAATTTAAATGGTATTATATTACAAAATAATAATAAATTATTTTTAATACTATAATATTTTAATTGTGCCTTGATTAAAAACATTTTTTTTAAACAAATTACAATCAAATCTACCATGTTAAGGAAAGATGAAAAAGAAGATCACTAAAGACTCAAACATTTAACTTGGGGAGGTGTTCTTATGAAGCAAAAAGTGATAAACCACTTAACCAACATGTGAGAAATAATTAAAAGCATATTTAATATATTTTACTATTAATTTATATAAAAATTATTTTTAACATTAATATTACATTAAATTATTTAAATAGATACTTGATAAAATTAAGATTAATTTTTATTTTTTATGTAAATAAATGAATGATAAAAATATACAATACAGACATATTTAACATGTACTTTAAAAATAAAGATTAAAAAAATTCTTAATATTAAAAAACTTACTTTTAACCTAATAATTTAAGTTTTACATTTTTTTGAATAGAAGGAAATTAATATATATTAAATAAATGAGGACTAGGAAAAGAGATATGTGAAATTTGAATATGTAATCCATAAGAGTTGATTTGTACTAATTTAGGATCAAAATTAATGTGAGAATCATTTAAGTACATTTAATATAAGTTAAAAGATTTGTTTAACCAGTACCCTAACGGCACAGTTTAAAAATACAATAAATGCATCTTTTTAATTAATTTATATTAAAAATTAACATATATTTTAATATTACTAATATATAAATGATTTTAATTAATTAATTAATTATAAAAAGATATATTTTTTATATTTTTATCTTGTACCATAAAAATATAAGATAAAAAAATCTTAAATTAAATTGTACAATAAATTTTTTTTTAATCAAGTCATGCACACAATTAAATTACTATACTTAATTATTAATAAAACTAATCTTGGCATCATGGCACGTCTCTTTTGTCTATTCTCCAACTTGAATGAGTAACAGGCAAATGCAAATGACGTTGAGGTAAATAATATCATAGAAAACCCATGGAGCGGGGAAGTTCTGGGGAGTGGAGTCTGGAGTTGCATATTGAAATACTGGCACGGTAGTACTGCACTAAAAGAAATGGAAAGAAATTAGGGTGGGGACGACAACTTTGACAGAGATGTTGACTTCGCAATATTCCGAATAATGACACGTGGGAGAATAAAGACAGTAATGATACGTTCACCGTTTCTGTACGCACGCTCATCACCGGGACGGTCTACCCACTGACACGTGGCAGCATGTGCCCCCCACCCCTCCCCAAAATCAAATCAGATTTGCTCTGTTTTGATTATGATCTGTGATTTAAGATGTTGCCGAATGGTATTAAACAAAAAACAGCTCATTAACGGCTAAGATACTTAATTAAATCAGAATTATTAATACGACCTGCAGGCTGCAGCTAAAAAATATTTGTTAAATTACAAATAATATAATATAATTATTTGTCACACGGGTACTGTTCAAAATTGCTAACTAATCAACCCATTTAATATTCTGCTATTTATATATGGATTTTTTTTATTTACAATTAAGGTATTTTAAACTTAATTTTTTACATATTTTAATATTAATTTTTCAAATAAAATATTAAAAATATATTTCTACCTTAACCTGACATATTTTAAAAAAATTAATTTTTTAAAATATTAATTCCAAATATCAAATCATGATTTTGGCCTTCGTCATGAATACATATATATGTATTATACTAACATCTTTACATCTTTGCTTTAATGTGATGTTAAAGATATTATGCTCATGTAGTGTATTTTTTTAGGCCTTTGGACACTTTTTTGCTGTCAAGGGGCCTTTCTTCGTGTTCAATATTGTTGGACCGCCCTATATTAAATTGTACTCTATTTTTTTTTCCCCTTTATTCCAAATCTTCCCTCTTTTGCCACCCCACTCCATCCACTAATTACCATTTCACAAAATATTCCTTTTCTTTCTTTTTTTTTTTTTTTTTTGAACATGTCCTTTTCTTTCTTTTTGTGTATAAGGAAATTTAAAATGTTTATTTACTTGAACTCTTAATCTTTAACCTTAACATTCAGAATTTAAGCCAACCACGTTCCAGCCTAGGATGAGGACTTTTGAGTTGTACGGCGGCTACGCTGAGGTCCCAAAAAAAAGTCCAAGATTTTTTTTTTTGACAAAGAAAAGTCCAAGATTTAGAATCTTGACATATCAACTAATTTTTGGGATAATTGGAAGTCAAGGATTTATCACTGCAGTCCAGATATTCTAATCAACTAACATGTCTCATTTCTTCATGATGTAAACAATCATTTTGGACAGCAAACACAAGCTAATTCTAACTGTCTTGCCTACAAAGTTGTCACTGCATAGGAGAGGTACTGAGTTTAGCTAGGGGAACATTGTGTGTTTTCTATGTCGAGAAAGAGGAGAACATTAATCATCTTTTTATTCAGGTGTGAAAATGTTCAAGGCTTATGGAAGAGATGTTACAAATGGTGGGGACGACCACCCCCCACTCAATTCTTTTGGCATGTGGGTTTCACTCCGAAGGCATTTGCAATCTTGTTGGAGCTGAAATATGATCGTTCATTCTCTTTATGATTGGTGAATGAATAGTATCTGTTCCATTCACCATGTTCTACTCATTTGTGATGCTTATGATGTTGTCTGCCCATTGCTGCTCTCAATTTGTTTGTATAGCGGAACTAGTTTTTGCATGATGTTCTGCTTGCGTATGCTTCTGTTTGTTTTGATCTTGTACCATCTAAATGTGATTTAGTTATAAGATACCACTGGAGTTATAACATCACATAAAATTAAAAATTTATAATTATAATATATTATTAAATAAACAGATACATACAATATTATTTATAAACTACTACGTACAAAAATTAATTATATTATGAGACAATCTTATAATATTATGTATTATTGTAACTATATCATTTTCGTTTCATTATAATGTTATGATTGAAATACACCTTGTACTCTGAATAGATTTTTGATTCATCAATAAAAAAAAAATAATCAATTGGTTTAAAAGCTAGCTGGTACCTGCAATAGATAGGTTAGAGAGAGAGAGAACCTGTTTTTGGTTGATGTCCTGCATGCTTTTTGCTGGCCAACATGCTTCTGTTCGTTTTGATCTTGTTGTAATTCCGTGATAAATTGTAAAGGTTGGAATACTCTTTATACACTATAAATAAATTTTGGAGAGAGAGTAAATTTATGAACCTGTTAAAAGAGTACTCTAACAAAGGTCAGAAATTTCAACAATCAAGTCCCTCCCCCAAGAGGAGTAAAGTAAGCCACTAACCACATACTAAGGTCTTATATAGCAGCAAGGAAAATCAACTGAGAGGATATATGATGGAGGCTAAGTCAAGAACCTCCAAAACAACAACGTACAGAAGAGCAACACGCAGCATGGATGATATATTCAGGGAAACTTAAGCTCCACAATACGTTCATGCGCACTTGTATTAATATTTCATCTCCACATAGAATTGAATCCAACAATTGATGTAAGAACTTCCTACAAATGAGAAATACGAGGTCAGTTTGGTTTCTTGAAAATATTAGGAGGTAGGGCATAGAAGTGTAAGAACAACTCATTGTTACTACTTACAAACCATGTGAACAACATCCTGCTCTTTTAAACAAGATGCAAAGGCTACCCAGATGACTACTAAATTTATTAAAGACAATTTATAAAAAAGATTTTATTTTATAAAATCTATATATATATATAAAAGATATCGAATTCTATATATATATAGAAATCAAAATCTAGTATAGTTGTTGATCCAGCCAACCCCAACTAGTATGCAATTAAGGGTTAGCAGTGTGCTAGGGCATGAAAAAGATTTGAAATCAACCTCAATGGTGGGATGTGTCACAGGGAAAGAACAATGAAACTACACTATTATTTGCCGAATGAAGAAATAAACTGCATTTCTGCCCAACCTTGCACTTAATCTATAGAGAATATCTAGGAACATTATCAGAAGGACATATCTAAGTGCAAAACACTTTGGCAATAACCATGAAATTCCAAACTTCTAGCACTACTAAAATCATTTTAACGTCTGAATCAAAAACTAGAAACTCTTTGACCCAAGTTACCATCATAAATGTTAAATACAATAACATTCTTCATTTCCTGAAGATATAGTTGGTGAAACTGTCTCAATCCAATTTCAAAGAATGCCTATTACAAACAGCCAAAAAGACAAAAAACTAAGAAATCTCACCCATCTATCTTTCCTTCTAATTTTCTAAATTGCGTGTTTGAAGAGTGGATTATAAGGTAAGAAATCCATAGGAAGTTAATACTGAATAAACTACAAAATGCAACTTCAAAGATAAAGTAATTGACAAATTGAGGAAGATCTATCCCAATTTCCCACAAAAAAATAAATCAAATAATCCTGGCAACATAATTCAACTAGGAAAGCAGGTGTAGTTTCATGCAAGTACATGCCCGCTGAGCTTTCTTCACCAAATCTGAAAAGATCTCCACAATGCTAAACTAATTCACTATCAATAGACCAAATTGTAAACAATTCCATTCCCAAGATACAGAGAGGAACAGACGTTTCCTAATACAAACATCAATCATCCTTTTACTACCTTATATCTTCGAAATCTAGATGAAGTCTGCTTCAGTGTGCCTTTCTTCTTTGGGGCTGTTTCTCAGTAACTAGTCTGTAAATCCAATAAACCTGTAACGAGTTCAAATTGGAAACGAAGAGGAAAGGAATCAGAGATCTATTTCGAAATGAAGATGAAAAACCCAGATGAAATCTCAAAGGTGGCATTGAGAATTACCAGCGCGAGTACGTGTGCAGCTATCAATACAACCACCAAGAATGGCACTAAATCTAGGAACCATGGCCGCAAAGATTGTTGCTCGCTCGCCATTTGAACAGAGGAAGAGGGATTTAACAGAGATGACAGAAAATTTTAGAGTGAGAATTGGATTCGAAAAGCCCTAAAACCAGGGTTTTGAATTCGGTTTTACACCTGTAGGAGAAACAAATCTGCAACTGCGTGTTGTGGAGTTTTGGGCAAATCATAATAGCTTTTGCTTTAAAACTACTCCCTCAAAGAACTAATTTTATTTATTAATTTTTTAAACATAATTTTTAATTAAAATTTTGATAATTTATAAAACTAATAAATAATAAAATTTTATACAAAATTCTTATTAAATATTTTTATTTAATTAAAGTAAATTTTAATTATTTATTATTATAATAGATTTTTAACTAAAATTTAAGTTTGAAAAAAATTAAAAAATTAAATTATATCTATTAAAAATATACAAAAAGAATATTATTTATTCATCTATAATAAGTTTAAAATTTTATTAAAAAATTAAAAAATTATCATTTTAAAATATACTTTAACCAAAATTTAAAAAAAACTCTAATATATAACTTTTTTACAAATTATTTAAAATTTGCTTAAAATTTGGTTTTAAATATATCTTTTTAATAACAAATTTTTAAATTAATAAAAAAAATAATGTTTTTAAAATAAATTTATTTTTAAATTTAAAATTAATGTTTATTCATTTTATCTCTTAAAAATTATAATTGAAATTATTTTAAATTCGATAAATGAATTAGATTCATTTTATCTCTTAAAAATTATAATTGAAATTATTTTAAAACTATCTAATTTTAATAAAGTATTATAAAAATAATAATTTTTAATAAAAATTTATTAAAATAAAATAATTTTGAGAAAATTTTTCTTTTAATCTTTAATAATTTATTAAAGCGGATAAATATTACTTTACGCACGCGGGTTGGAGATTCGTGGGCTCATCTAGTCGGGTTTTGAACAATCCGGCCGCATTGGCGCTTGAGAAACAGAGTATTGGACCTATGGGCTTTAGCGATGCTTAAAGTGGAAGGTAATTTGATTTTTTCGGCCGAAGGGAGGTATTTTCAATTAAAAAATAAAATGCATATAATAATAGTATAATTTTAGTTGGAATGAGATTTACTTTAATAAATCAAATTTAGTTTGGTGGATGTTTCGTCTTCCACTCTTACTTTTCACCTCTCACTTCTTTCATGTAATGACAATGATAATTAAATACGATTATGTAACTATTAACTTTAATTTAATGAGTGATTAAATCTTTATAATTCATCGGCCACTTAATGAAAATATTAGTCTTTATAACTCTTACCACTCAATTAGACTATATATAGGACTTGTTTTCCTACAAATTGTGTGGCGAAAAAATGAATAGAAATATATTACATATCTTACATCCTTTTTCATTTTTATCAATAATTTGTTAATCCAAATAAAAAGAATTTGATTTTCTTTAAATAAGGTTTTAAGTTCGAATTTTATGAATGAATAAATAGATATTAGGAGAACTTTCCTCTTGTGAGTTTGACGCGAGTCAATTTCGAATTAATCAAACTCAATATAGTTACCAAATATCGAAATGTTAATACAAAAAAACATTGTTTCTCATTTTCACTCTTTCTTTATTTCTTATTAAAAGCATGATTATTTCTTTTATTTTAATTTCTACAATAAAAAATAATTTTTCCCATCACTTAACTCGTATTATTCATATGTTATGTTATGTGATTCAAATTTATAATTTTTTACTCTTCTTTTATTTGTTAATAAAACATGATTACTCTTAATTTAAACTAATTTCATGTTTCAGAGTTTTTTAACTGATTTTTTTTCTTTGTTTGAACATGAGGTAGTGGAAAGTTGAGTGATATGCGACCTACACACGTACTAAATCCTTCATGATACTAGCGATAATCTCATCTAGAGGTTTATAGAAGTATTGAAAGCTTTTGTCTAGATGGTAAGAAGCAATAAGCCATGAAATCAACATAACCGAATACTTTTTAATTAAAACAAATATAAAGTGATGAATTAAGAATCTTTCTTCTTATGGATAAAAATTCTTAAATTTAAGTCGTATGTATGTTGATATAAGTCGTTCAGTTAACAAAATAACTAAATTGACTATAATTATTTTAAAAAAATGTTTTGTACGTCAATTTTTTAAAATTATTTTTAGAGAATATATCTTAAAAACTCATATTTTAATAAATAATTTTAAAAATAAATTGTTAGATTAAAATTTTAGTTAATATAGATTATACAGATCAAATTTTGAATTATTTTAATAAATCTTATTATTTTATTTATTATAAAAAAATTTAACACTGTTAAATATATATCAATAAATAAAAATTTTCATATCAAATGATTATAAGTATTAAATCAATAAAAAAATTTACATATATAATTTACATGCATAAAACTTTTAATTCAATGATTAATTTTTAAAAATATTAATTAAAAGATAAGTTTTTAAATATATTCTCCACAAAAAAAAAAATTAGAAGGACAAACAACCATACACTAATTTCTAATTATTTTTTCTTGTTATAAATAAAAAAAGGAGAAAAGGTACAAATAAAGATAATAATTTTATATTTTTCTCTCTTTATAAAAGTTAATTTTGTTAGTTTTTTTAATAAAAATATCAACTTTTAACTTTTTATTTAAAAATACTAATTTTTAACTTTTTTATTTAAAAAATTAATTAGATGGCATATAGCAAACTCTTTTTTTAATCAAAATATTAAAAGTTAATATTTTTAAATAGAAAAAATTAAAAATTATTATTTTTAAATAAACAAAATTAAAAATAATATCCCCATTTAAAAAATAATAAAATTAATTTTTTTAAATAAAAAATGTAAAGTTAGAATATTTATTTACACAATTTCTCAAAAAGAATAAGAGAACATCTATTTCTGAATTATTTACCATCCTATCTTTTTTTTTTTTTTGGGCCTTCTAAGTTCTAACATCTTGTTTTTGAATTATTCAAAGAAAAAAAAAAATTAAATCTGATTTCTGAATTTGTTTTTTTATGAAATTCAGAAAATCGGATTTCTGGGCTGCAAAAAGCGGTTTGTCGCCAGAGCTGCCTAAGTATATAAGACGTGGCAATTTCTCCACTCGCAAGCAAACTCTACTCCTCGTCGCACCAATTGATTTTAGGGACTTGGTGGAGGCAAAATTCCTAAAACCTCAGTCGCCGGCGCTTTTCCACGAACGAGTTCCGTTTGCAAAAACCTTGCTCCCATGGGTGGGTAATCCCCCTCTGATTCAGCCGATGAGGAATGTCATTGCGAGTCTCAGCCGTCATCGCCGTGTCACAGTCCTCTCCGCCGGTACGCTTCTATTTCCTCGCTTTTCCACTTACGGTTCCATCTAATTTTCTGTTAATTTTTGCCTCTCGCTGGACAAGTAAGCTCCAGTAGCTATTTCGTTTTTATGGCTAAAAATTTCAAACAGCAATTCTCGGTAAGTTGTTAGAGTTTTGAGCGGATTGGTTTCAATCTTTTGATGTAGCAAAATTTAAATGAAATGCTGGAGGAAATGTGTGTATCTTGATCACTAATTTCTATTTCATGCGTAATAGGAAGAGGTTCAGTTGCTCTGTCATTCAATTTCTGTTTGCATTGGTATTTTGATTATTGATCATGTTCATGTTTCTGTGATAAAATTATACCATCCAGAATGTGAGGGAATAGGAAATTGCAACTGCAAAGAGTACTAATCTGAGTTTGCTGATTGAGAGTGATTTAGGTTTACTTGCAATTTGCATTCATATACTGTTTCGTTCATTATTTTTTCTTTGTTGAATGAAGTACGTAAGGCTTCTTAGTTTATGTATCACAGGGATTTTATAACGTGCTCTTATTGTCATTTCCTGAACAAAGTTGGCATCTCATTTGATTTTGCAGCTCTATATCATGACAGTCGTGCAGAAACTATCATGTGGAAATCCATCTTATTGGGGTCTCCCAAAGATACTGAAATTGCAAGGACACAAGATATTTTGTTTCCATCATGCATGTTGCAACGATATTGGTTAGTTTATGGGAGTTTTAACACTTCTCTTTTGAAGATGGAATGTGTTTCTAATCCATAAGCGCTAATTGTTATGAAGCTTTATCGTCATGGTTGTTGAACTTACTAGAGATTTTTGTGCAGGTTTTCTACAAGTTTCACTAGTGTGCATGGCGGTAGGCCATCTGCTGAGTATGCAAAGTTGAGGAAGGAATCATTAGAAAGTGAATTCGGGCATACCATTGGAACTCATAGCTCAAAAAGCATTTCTACTTTGTACCGGTTTGGCCCATTTTTGGCTCTTTATAGAGCAGCAATAATCTCATTTCATGTACTGAAGTTGACTATTTGGCAATTCTTTGTTCAAGACATCAAAAAACGTGCCATCAAGGTATTATTGGAATTTTATTTGGTAACATGCTTCAGTGAGTTGTTTCATTTATTCTTTTGGCTCATCCTGCACCTTAACTGATTGTGTGCTAAAGTTTAGAATTTTTATTTTGCAATTTCATGTTATTTGGCACATGATTTTTCCAGAAGCTATCATGTGCAACATCTTTAGAGTTCTTTGGCATGGCAATTTCTTTATTGTTTATTGCTATAATTTTATTTTATTTTTTTAAATTGGGTGCAGTTGCGTGAGATGCTAATCAGCTTGGGGCCATTCTATGTAAAGGCAAGTTTCTTTTTCTTTTCTCTTTATTTTTTTATTTGTTTGCATGTTTGGAGTTTTTAAATTAGTTTTTTTCATTATTAGAGTTGCAATATCCACTTCAATCTTCTTTATTATAACTTAAAAGAAAAAACATTACATATCCATCTGGCTAGAAAGTTCAAATTAATATTATTTTTGCTCCTTTTTTCTTATTTTTACCAAATTTAATTCAATGTACAGCTTGGACAGGCTTTGAGCACCAGGCAAGATATATTGCCACTAGTTTACTGTCAAGAACTTGCTAAATTACAGGTAGATGGGCCTTTTCTCATCCATAGGTTTCTTTGCTTATTGGTCTACTTGTCAATATTTATGGTACTTGTCAATATTTATGGCTAACTGACATGGATATCTATAACTTATCATTTTATCATTCTGATGAATGAGGTTTTTCTCTTAATGCTAGGATCAAATTCCCCCTTTTCCCACACGTGTTGCACTAAAATCAATTGAATCTGAGTTGGGTGTTCCAATTTCAGAAATTTTTGCTGACATCAGTCCAGAGCCTATTGCAGCAGCTTCTTTAGGACAGGTCTATAAAGGTTAGTCAATCTTTTCTGTAAAGGGAAAAACTATATAATTTTATCCTCCTTATTTTCTACCCTCACCTTTCTTGGGATAAGCAACTAAACTATGGATGCCAAGGGTGTAATCTGAAATGGAGAATGGAAGAGTTCATTTTTCTTTTTTTTTTTCAAATCCATATTATGATGTGTCATAGCATCCATGAAGAGGATATATATATATATATATACATATATATGAGGAAGGATCCATTTACATGCAAGTCTTACACACCACACTTACACAAAATTTCACCCATTCATCTCTCCACTTTCAATGGTTGAGATTTATTCACATTTATTAAAGATAATTATCTTTTTCATCTAAAAAGTCATGATAAATGTCACCATTGAAAGTGGACAAATGAATGGTCAAGATTTTGTGTAAGTGTGGTGTGTTAGACTTGTGTGTAAATGAATCCCTACTCATATATGTACATTAAGAAATCTCAGGCTGAATGCTTGCTTTGTTGCTTCAAGTTTTCAGCTCACCTTCATTCTGGAGAACTGGTAGCTGTTAAAGTACAGAGGCCTGGTATGTCACTGCGGTTGACCCTTGATGCCCTGCTGTTTCATATGATTGGAGGTCAATTAAAGCGATTTGCAAAGGCCCGCAGAGATCTGTTAGTAGCAGTGAATGAAGTGGTGAGACTTCCATGTTTGTGTGTAAGAAAGACGTCATGTCATCAAATATACACATAGAGAAATATATATTACATTAATACATATTATTGATGTGGAAACAATTATGTGATCCATTATTGTTTAGTGGATATGGTGTTTTTATCATAGTGTTTTAGCATTTGCATCTACAGGCTTATGGACATCTTTAGGTTTCTCTTAAATTTACAGGTAAGACACATGTTTGATGAAATTGATTATGTCATGGAGGCAAAAAATGCTGAACGCTTCGCTTCTCTCTATGGTTGCTATCCATGTAAGTACACACTTGTCAGAAAATCATAAATCCTTAATTAGAGAAGCATCATTTTGAATCTGAATATTGAAGAGATTGCGTGTGCAGGATATTTTGCAATGAGTCAAAAACTAGTTGTATTTGAGTTGTTATTTCTTACCTCCTATGTTGTTATGAGGAATTTAATTTTTGTACTTTTAACTGTTTTTCCTCTGTGGAAAGAAGAATCTAGAGTATCATATCTCTTGTGAATGTATTTTATTGCAATTTATGAAGCCATATCAAGTTCCTTTTAATAACAACAAATTAATGGCACTGCCTGCAATTGTATTAGAAATTGTTACCTCTATCCTTTGGTCTATTAAGATTGATAGAAAGTACAGAGATTTCCTTATGATGATAGATAACAACCAGACTAGTCATCAATATGATAAAGTCAAGAAAGCAATGGGAATTAAAGTGCCAAAAGTTTACTGGGACTTTACACGCAAAGCTGTTCTCACCATGGAATGGGTTGACGGAATTAAACTTACAGATGAAATTGGCCTCAAGAAGGCATGTCTAAACAGAAGGGAACTGATTGACCAGGTAATAGATTTTCAGTAATATATATATAATTTGTTTCTCTTTTGACACTGCATTTGAGTAGTTGGCAGTATCTTGATTTTTTTTTTTTCCATCCAAACTTAAATTTGTTTGCATAATTTGAATTGTCATCTCCTTTTGTGGCTTCCTAGGGATTATATTGCTCTTTAAGACAGTTGCTGGAGGTGGGATTTTTCCATGCTGACCCACACCCAGGAAATCTTGTTGCTATAAACGGTGGCTACCTAGCGTATTTTGACTTTGGAATGATGGGAGAAATTCCACGCCATTACCGTGTAGGACTTATTCAAGTGGTAAGAGGAAAGAGTGATATCACAGTTCCAAGTTACTGTTCTGTTTATCCTTTAATTCTCTGCGAAAAGTGCAGTACCGTCATGTCAATTATGGTGTATAACTGTGAAATCTCTGTTTGCTGTGGGATTTATTTGTAGTGTTTCACAGCTGAAAGAAATTCCTTAAATTCTTCATCCTTTTTTCTTCTTTCAGTATGTTGATGCTAAGCTTTGCTGTGCTATTCCATTGTGATCATTTATGTGTTGATAAGTTTTTGTTTCTTTCAGCTTGTACACTTTGTTAATCGTGATTCTCTGGGTCTGGCAAATGATTTTATTTCTTTGGGATTTATTCCGGAAGGAGTTGATGAACAATCAGTTGCAGATGCATTGCATGCATCCTTTGGGGATGGAACTCGACAATCCCATGATTTCCAGGTGTTGTGTTATAGTTTGTTCTGTTATCATTTTTTCCAATTGCGAGAATGCAAGCCAGGACTTCTCTCTTCTAAGTTCAATGTCAACAGCGCATGAATCAAAGATTTGTTTCTTTGTTAGGTGTTACTCATATTGTATTGCTTTTAATTACAGGGTATAATGGAACAGTTATATGATGTCATGTATGACTTTGACTTCTCTCTTCCCCCAGACTATGCTCTGGTGGTAAGAGCACTTGGCTCACTAGAAGGAACTGCAAAAGTTCTCGATCCTGATTTCAAAGTTATTGAGAGTGCATACCCTTATGTTATCGGAAGGCTTTTGGCAGACCCAAATCCTGATATGCGAAGAATTCTAAGGGAGCTTGTCATTCGTAATGATGGATCTATAAGGTGGAATCGGCTAGAGCGCTTGGTAGGTCGTCTCTCCATTTTGCAGAACTCTGGTTTATACTTTGGTCTGAAACAGAATATGAAATCACAGAAAAGTCTGTCTGTTTAGTTTGCTATTGTACCTTTTTCTGCATCATGAAAATTTCTGATATAGCCAGGCACGTCTCATACTCACTTTGTTATTTTATGGTACTCTTTGGATGGATAGTTTTTATGATATGTTTTCAGCAATATGACAAAGTTAAAACTGCCATTTCATTGTATAACAGTGGAAAATTGCAACTTGTTTCAGGTAGCTGCAATATCTGAACAGGCTTCTGAGTCATCTGGTGAGCCTGCTAACTCGGGAGAAAATGCTTCAAACCTTTTGGGATGGAAGTCATTCAACATGCGAGCTGTTGTTGCTGCAACGGAAGATCTTCTTCTTTTCATTCTATCTGAAAAGGGTCTGCGGGTGAGGGTTTTCCTTCTGCAGGATATAATCCGAGCAGCAGATATTTTTCTACAGGCTGGAGTTTGTATATTAGATGATGAAACTAAAGAAATGGATGGACCAGAATCTGAGGTTTGTCTGCCATCTTATTCATTTATCTTCCACTGAAATTTGTGCGATCAAAGGTTTGCTTATAGATGGTACTTAAACAGCAGCACACCCGCGCCCCCCCCCCAAAAAAAAAGAGAACATTGGCACAAGGAAGAAAGCAGGAAAAAAATCTACAATTCTAAATGGGTTGTTTTTGATTCAATTGTTTTACACTTTTACTTATTTTCTTATACAGCAGGGACATGCAATGATGAAACGGGTGGTCAATGGCTTTCGCTCTCTTTATCAAGCAGTGAAGTTAGCCCCCGAGTTATGGACAGCGATGCTCTTCCGCATGTCTTCTAAGCCAGAAGTCCATAGCTTTACTCACGACATAATATCAGCGTTACACATGCACTGTAGCCGCAAACTTCCTGAGACCTTTTGGGTTTGTATTTCTAGATTACTTCATAAATCAACCAAAGATTATAGCTCCGAGGATCATATCTAAGATAATTCTTTTTCCAGTTCTGAAATCTTTAACCATTTTAGAAGTTCCATAGCAAATTTTTTCACATGCCATGAAAAGTATTCATATATTCCCTTCTATAATCTCTCTTTACAGCTGTTTTCTGCATCCGCTTTCGCATTTCGACTTTGATTTCTTTTATGAAATTGCTTGTCTTATAAGAAATGAACACATATGATAATCGCTTTAAACTATAATTTCTCAATTCTCACACCAGGACTCTTCTCAATCATTTCATTTACTTTTCTTTTTCTTTTTATTTTTTTAATAGAAACGTCTGTCTCATTATTATCATGTATTTTATTCGGTTGCCATTTGGCAGCTGCTTTCATTACTCTTCTTTTTTTTCACATCATGAAATTCGCTTTCACTCTTCCTCCTGGAGATAGATATTACTTTCATATTGGTGACGGAGATTGGATCAGGATAACATGAAATCCCTAATTTAGTATCTATATGAGTTGTCTTGATCATACGCTGCTACATTTCCCTTAATACGAGGGCAAATGAACAATGTCCTAACTCGTCGGTAGCCCTACCAAAACTCTAACCTCTGCTAATTGGAAGGGAACAGGGATTGACTCGCTTCCAACCACAATCGTCATGGTAAGTTTTTGGTTTGTCTGATGTATGACGTTAGCATCTTCTTCACCCAAACTCTCCCAAGGTCTTGTCAATAATATTTGTTAGTTTAATTAATCGAAGATGTACATTAAAATTTGTAATTGTATACTAATATTTTGTCTTTGCAATTAAATCATCTTTGGATTTTTCTACTTAAGACCGAGTCTCGTGTCTTTATTGAACAGTTAAAATCAATTGAAAAAAAATCTTATAATAAAAGTCATAGGCTCTTTTTTTTTTTTTTTTAACAAAGTGTTAAAAGTAAGATTCGAATTTCGAACCCACTATAAAAGAAGAGATTGCACTTTTAAAGTGATCCGAAAGTCACTTAACCTGAAAAGCAAGTGTAGTTATAGACTCTTTTTATTAAAAAAATTATATAATGTTATATTATTATTATATATTTTTTAATAAAAAAAATTGACAACCCTATATAACCATAATGAAAAATGATTATTTAGTCTCTTAGAAGCAACGTGTTAAAAATCGGACCGGATTAGGTGGTTGAACCGATCGAACCGGTACCCGGTATTAAAAACGGTTCAAATCAACATTTAGAACCGATAAAATGGTTGAATCACTCAAAATCAATAAAACCGTTTGAATCGATACAAACCGAAAAACTATTCAATCGAACGGTTTAAATCCTTTGGAGGATTTACGTTAAATTTGCGACTTTCGCCACTAGGACGTTACCTCTTTGATTGAAATGATTTGCTAACAATTTCATTTATGTTATTCTTCAAAGAAAAGAATTGACGATGCCATCCAGTAGAATCGAACTTTCCTTCCCTTTACGAACTTTGATGTTAAAATTAATATA